AATAATATATATATATATATATATATATATATATATATATATATATAAAAATGAAAAAAAAAGAAAAAATAAGAAGAAAAAAAAGAAGAAAAACAAAAGAAATTATCAAAGAATAAAACATGAATAAACAAAAATAAAATAATGTATTAGATTTTATGACATATATATAATATAAATATTAGTACTGAAATTCTATTTCTAATAAAAAAAAAATATTTAATTTAATTATTACATGATATATACCTGAAGTATTGTTGTTTGATGTATCCTCTGATTATTTACATAAGTATGAGCATCCCTGGAACAAGGTGTAAGAGTGACAATATTTTCAGTAAATGCAATTACACAGTGCCTCGGCATAACCGTTGGTCCTGTCAAAGTGAGAGTTTGAGCTTGAACTGCCTGCGGACCTATTGGTCTTTCTGAGCCCACTTCCGTCACGTTTGGCTGTAACCGATGTCGTACACCGGTACCGTTTGGAATTTCACTACCATCAGGATTCAATTCCAGTAAAAAAGGTAATCTTTCATCTTCGTATCTGTAAAGCAAATAAAAACATAAATTATTGTAATGATCATTTTTGATCATTTTTCGTTAATATTTTCTATGAAAAATTTATGACATTTTATTGGTATATTCAATATACTCATTTTAAATATATACATGGGATTATTTCTATAAATCAAAAAAATATTTCAGGTAAAAATTATATTATTAAGAAATACATATTGTAATATAATATAATAAATGTTTGACTTTGAGATAATCATGAATTTTCCTATGAAGGAAATTTTCAAATGGAATCTTATATTTTTTATTACAGATTCTTATAACTTATATATTTTTAAAATATTTACTTACGAATGTATTTTTCTTAAGCTGTTATTAACTTTTAAAATTTACTTGTTATGAAATTTTGTAAATATATAATATATGTTATTATATAAATAGTAAAAAGTATAAAATTATGTAATAAAAGAATTTTATTTAAAAATTTAAATATGACGTTTACAGAATAATTCAAGATTATCTCAAAGTCAAATATTTATCAAAATATATGCCCTTCGATACCATATAATTTTAATTCAAAATAAACATATATATATAATATTCCAAAAATATGAAAATATTATTCAATTAGAAATTCCTAGAATAATTTCAAACAATATTTTTCTATACAAAAACTGTATAAAATATTTAATGCTTTTTCTTAGATATTCCGATCAAAATTAATGAGAGATTTAAATGAATTTTTTTCTTTTTATATATCAAAGAATTTTATCGTTATGATTTTGCAACAAACCTGCAATCTAATTCATTCCATTTGCCACTTGGTTTTTTCTTGCGTTTCCGAGGCACATAATCAGAAGGTCTTCTTCGCACGTGAAACATAATAGAACCTGTAAATAAAACATTTGATCGATAAATATTTTTAAATAATAATTATTAAATAATAATTTTTTTCAAGCTATATATGATTATGGTATTTTTAGTTAAAAATTAATCTATATTTGAATCATATATCTCATCACTTGTCTTATATCTTTGCTTTTATACATTTATATTTTTATTATAGGAATTTCGAAAAGAAATAACCGTTTCATTTTATCTTCAAATATTTGTCATTGTATATAAAATAGAATGCCAATAAATTATAATAATGGAATCACAAAAAAAAATAATAGCAATGGTTTTACACTATTTTGTTATATTATTTTATATATTATTACTATTATACTATTATTAATTATTACAAAATAATTTATTATTAATTATTTTTTTCTATATATATTTTTATAACAAATTAAAATAAATACAGTCCCAAAATTTAAACGAATATAAAATTGAAAAATTGTTAACAATTTATTTTTTGTAAAAGAATATTTCTTAATATGATAAATTCTAAATTTTATTTAGTTTTCAATCTTCATTTCTATCAAATAAAATTATATTTTTATCTTTATAATCAAATTTACTAAGATATACTAAAAATTTAAATATGATAATATATTAATGCTTTTTATTAAATGTTCGTATAAAAAGTTTCATTTAACAATTTTTCAAACATCTTGTTTCATATCTTCACATATTTTGTTTCTTAAATAATATTAATTTATAATTAACATAGCATACATATAAGTAAAATAACTAAAAATTTTTTATTTTCTTTCAAATTATTGCAGATATCGATATGTTTTTTCTTTAAATTAACCGATTTATAATTGGGAATCATTTAATGTGTACTTAGTAAGAAACCTAATAATATTTAATTAGATCATTTTTTTATATAGCATATATATATTCATATACATTTTTTTTTTTAGTCATAGTAAGAAATATTTTTCATAATTGCTTTAAAAATATTTTATTAAATGTCCTCATTCAATTGCAAATATATGTTCGTTTTTATAATAATAATTTATATTATTATGACTCAATAATATTACTATAGATATAGTTCCATTTTCATATCTTCTTATATAGTTCTTCTTTGTTTTTCTCTAAAATCTTTGTTTAATTTTCTAAATACGAAATAAAATTTTTCAAGTAAATATTGTTTCATTAGAAATATTACAATCAACAAAATTAATATATTATATTATTTTATTTTAAAAAATAGTTATAATAATATATTAATAATTTTTAATTAAAAATTTCTAATTAAAAATTATTAATAATTTTTCATTAGAAATTATAATATATATATTATATAGTTACATAATATATAATATTATAATATAATATATATAGTTATGGTTTTATAATAACTTATCATTTATTATTTCATCTTATATGTCACTATTCTATTAGTCATAAATGTCATTTACAAGAATACAACAGTCATATGTTCTATCCTTCGCATACTTAGTTGACCTACATTAATCAACATGTATTCACTGAATTATTACAGCTTCTTATCTCGCTATTTCAAGCAAGTTATTCTATTCGCTTCTTATTTCGTTAAAACAATCGATTTTAGAATTTATTGAATCCAAAATATTTAATATATAATAAATATAATATATAATAAATTTGTTAAAGAATATTCATTTAAAATTATATTATATTTGAACAATCACCAATATATTGAAAATTTATATTGAAAAAACATTGCCATCAAAAAAAAATAAAAGTTTTTCACTTTCCTGAAGATATTAATTTAAAAAGAAAACAACGAATTCTAAATATCTATACTTTTCAATCATATATATATTGATCAAATTTATCTAATCATAATGGAATTATGAATTATTATTATAAAAAATACATTAATTGGAATTTTTAAAAATCTTTACATTATAAACAATTATCGAAGATTTTTACAAATAAATAATTATATTAATAAATAATATTATTATTAATTATTATTATTAATTTACTAAATAAAAAATAAATTTCAAAATTCTTACGTCTAATTCCCCAATCCATCATTGTGTATAAAATTGTCAATTTCTTTTACGTGGCTCCTGAAAATATGTATGCGTATGCGCGTTCGTTTATGGTTCCTTTTTCGATCGATTACTTCAATTTTGATCCTTTAAATTTCACTTTTATAATCAAAATTACAGTAAAAAATAGAAAACTATTACATTCTCTAAATATTTACATTTTTATTGCAATTTATATATATTTGTGCAAATATATTTTAAAAACCAGGTTATGTATTTGACATAGCACTTAAAAATTTTATTATTGGCATGATAATACTTGTGCATTGAAGTTTTTTCTTTAGTTTTCGAATACAACAAATGTGCTTTATTAAAATAAGTAATATAGAAAAAAAAGAAAGAAAAAAAAGCACAAATATATTTCTAATTAAAATTTCTAAATTAATGTTATTATAAAAATATAAATTTCAATTCTTAAAGAAAAAAGAATTTAAATTTCTCCATTTAGAGATTTACAAATTCATAACAATATGTATAAAATTGTTTCAATATGCTTTTTAATGTTTTAGCGTATCATTTGATTACATTATAACATGCAATATTTTTTCATTCAATGACAGATTCTTTACCAAACAATTCAAAATGTTGATTCATCTTGATTATTGTATACAGATCTAAACATTTCACGCAAACATTAAAAGGAAGAAAAATACAAATATCTTTTTCTATACAAAAATTTCTTTACAACATAATAGTTCAAATCACAACTACCAACAAAAGTAACGTTAAATTACGTCACAATGTTGCGCGACTTTAAGCATTTCAGTCAGAAACAAGAGTCAGTGGGCGGTTCTTCAGACAACAAGCAAGCGCGCGCGCCTGCTTATTATACCTATTGACTTATATACATACATGAAACAATATGACAGCGCAGATTAAGTCTGATAGATGGTTGTATTGACATATATACATTTAATTCTAATTTTTCAATAATTTTTTTATTCATTATTTCTTAATTATTATTATTTAAACTTCTTGTTAATGTTGATTAAGATTTATTTATCAAGTTATAAACAATTTAAATTCGCAAAATGAAGCAAGATAAAAATAAAGATAGAAATAAATTGCAATGGCAATATAATAGAGATAAAACGATCTGATAGAATACTATATGAGCATTCCTTTTTATCTAACATAAACTTCAATTGTTTATAATTTATTAAATAAATCTTAACCAATTTTTAATTTTTTATTTGTATCAATTTTTATCTTTAATTAATTCTTTAAAATGAATATATAAATATATAAACACTTCATTTTATTTTTCTATCAATCAAATTTCACAATCTTCTCAAATTATTTTCATTAAAAGTACCAATACGTACCGCGAGTAGAAGAATGATTCATAAGAATAGCTAAAGGACATTCGTCATCGTCCAATATATATTCTTGTTGGGTTCCTCCATTAAGATTATTCTCACTATTTACCTACATACAACATTTAATTTTATATATATATAATTACATTTATTTTTATAGAAAAATTACTAAATTTAGAAAATTATTATTATTGAATTATAATCTAAATTTGAGCTTTATTCTTTTCAAAGTTATAGATATTTTCTATATTTTGATTCCACCATATTAATTATTATTAACAATTAATTATTAACAATCAAAATTCTTTCTAATCACAAATAACTGCAATTTTTTTTTAATTCCTCCAAGTTGAAATGAAATAATGAATATTTCTCATGATATATAACATAATAGTTAAAACTTTCCTTTCTAACAAATTCTCTTATTAACAAGATTTTGATTATTGCGAATTCTTTCTATATCCAAAAATTAAAGTTTAATTTCTATACAAAATTAATTTTTTTGTAACGATATTTTTGTACATTCAACGAGATTCGGATTGAATCACAGTAATGCATCATGCAGTTGAAAATAAACACACAAACAAACTTTAAGAATATATTTAAAATATGGTAGAAGCAATAGAATTACTTATTAATGTAAAATTATATTAACATAAAAAGTACATTTTTTATTCTCCAACAAATGAAGATCAAATTTAAATTAATTTATTAATACTATAATAAAATAAAAAGATTTTAAAATATATTTAATAAATTAATTTACTTAATATTAGGAAACATATTTTTTTTCGATCATATCTTGATTATATCATATGACATAATATACATATAGAGAGCGTTTTATTTAAATAAATATGCTCGAATATCGAAAAATTAAAATTATTAAAAAAATATTTTAATAAAAGATATTTAATTCAAAGAAAGATATATTATGTAAATAATTCTCTTATAAATAAAAAAATAGTAAGAAAAATATTAAGATGATTAATATTCATTTTTTTAAATATAAAATATATATAGAACTATATAATTTTGAATATATTAATTAATTTATTTGAGTATTCTTTTTAAAAATGTATTAATATGTATAAAAAAAAATCTACTTATATCGAAAAATTGGTTTTTCAATTAAAAAATTTTAAGGAAATAAATAAAAGATAATAATCGATTTGAAAAAATAACTATTGATTTTAGTTCTATAGGAAAAACACATATATTTACTTTATTAATCATCTTTTTTGATTAAACAAAACACGATAGAATATAATGCTTACATTAAGCGATAGTAAATGAAATTCATCACATATTCAGTCAATAAAGGAAATATATGCATTTATTTTTATATATTTTCTCATTATCCTACTAAATCAACACAAGAAATGAAAATGTCATCTTTTTCAGTTTCAAATTTAATACAAAAATGCAATATTTGAATTAAAATATTTTCTAAATCAATGATTTTTCAATATATATATAAATAAATATATGTATAATTATATAGATATAAATTATATATAATATATATAAATAAATATAGATAAATATTTTTTTATAAGAAATACTCAAATAAATCGATTAATACATTCAAAATTATATACTTTATTTAAAAAGTGAAGTTGATCTCTGAAATCTCTTTTATTATTTAATCTACAAAAAAATGATTTGCATTTCCTTTACCAAATACCAAATAACTTATTAATCAAATAATTTTATTAAATTTTTTTTTTATAATTTTAATTTTTCATGAACTTCGTATTAGCATATTTTGTTAATAAAACATTTTCACACATGCGCGCACGCACGCGCACACACACACACACACACACACACACACACACACACATATATATATATATATATATATATATATAT